ACAACATTTAAAAGAAGCTGTGTATATGGGGGAATTGAGAAAGCCACATTCATGTCCAGGCAAGACACATGCTCAGAAAAAAAAAAACAAAGAAGGTCTAAAGTTCTCATCTTGGGCTCACCCCTGGGCCCAGACCATGCCCATCTAATCAGTGAAGGTCTTCTCTGGCACATAGCCAGTCTGAAAAGACTGGGGAAAGTGGCTGCTTCTTTCAAATACCCAACTTTCAACAACAACAAAAAAATCACAAAGAACAATAAAACGTAGCCCATTCAAAGGAATAAAATAAGTTGACATAAACAGTCCCTGAGAAAGCTCACACATCAAACTTATTAAAGACTTTAAAATAACTGTCTTAAATATACTCAAAGAGCTAAAGAAAAACATGAATCAATAACTAAAGGAAATCAGGAAGACAGTGAAACAGTATATGAACAAAATCAGAATATCAACAAAGTACAGAAATTATAAAAACCAACAAAACAAATTATAGAGATAAAAAATAAAATAACTGAGTGATAAATTTACTATAGGGGTTCAATAGCTTATTTGAGCAGGGAGAAAAAAAATAATCCATAAATTTAAAGATAAGAATGCTGAAATTATTGAGTCTGGGATCAGGAGCAAAAAGAAAAAACAATGAAAAAAAAAATAAACAGAGCTTAAAAGACCCATGGGATACCATCAAGTAGACCGGTGTATGCATTATGAGAGTTCCAGAAGGAGAAAAGAGAGAAGGGAGCAGATGGATTATTTGAAGAAATAATGGCCAAAAACTTCCCAAATTTGATTAAACACATGAATCTGCAAATGCAAAGAGCTCAAGAAACACCAAGTAGAATAAACTAAAACACACTCATACCAAGACACATAATCAAACTGTTAAAAGCCAAAAAATGAATCTTGAAACCAGCAAGATAAAAGGGACATGTCATGTACAAGGTATCCTCTGCAAGACTGACAACTGATTTCTCAGAAGAAACCCTGGAGGCTGAAGGCATTGGGATGATATACAGTTGACCTTCAAGCAACAGAGGGGTTAGGTGCACTGACCCCCATGCAGTCAAATATCTGCATATAACTTTTGAACCCCCCCCCAAAAAACTTAAGTACTAATAACCTACCGTTGACTAGAGCCCTTACCGATAACATAAACAGTTGGTTAACACATAGTTTCAATGTTATACATATTACACACTGTAATCTTACAATAAAGTAAGCTAGAGAAAAGAAAATGTTATTAAGAAAACCACAAGGAAGAGAAGAAAAATCCACAAATAAGTGGATCCATGAAGGTCAAACCCATGTTATTTAAGGGTTAACTGTATTTAAAATATTTAGAGAAGAAACCTGTCAACCAAAAATTCTATATACAGCAAAACTGCCCTTAAAAAATGAGGGAGATATTAAGACATTCCCAGTTAAATAAAAACTGAGGGAATTCATTGCCACTAGAAATTCCCTGCAAAAAAAAAAAAATGCTAATAAGAGTCCTTTGGGTTGAAATGAAAGGACAGTAGATAGTAACTTGATGTTAGATAAAGATATAAAGATCTCAGGTAGAGGTAAATATATGGGCAAGCATAAAAGCCAATAAATTTTGCATTGTAACTCCACCTTTTTTAAATATAGGATTTAAAAGACAAATGCACAAAAGTAATTATAAATCTTTGTTAGTGTACAGATATATAAAAATGTAATCTGTAACATCAGTAACATAAAGTAGGGGAGTGTAGCTATCTTTTGCGATTGGAGGTAAGCTGGTACCAATTTAAATTAGATTGTTATAATTTTAAGTTGTTATATATGATAGTCATGATACCCACAAAATATACCCATAGAATATACCAAAAATAAATAAAAAGGGAATAAAAACATGTCACCACAAACTCAAAAAATTAAAGTGGAGGGAATATGTCTTAAGTAATTTTGTCAGGCTAACATTATTCCAATACCAAAACCAGACAAAGACATTACAAGAAGGGAAAACTAAAGACCAATATTCATTATGCATATTAATGTAAAAACCCTAGCAAACTGCATTCAGAAGCATATTAACAGGATTATACAACATGACCAAGTAAGAGTTGTTCCTGGAATGGAAGAAGGGTTCAACACATGAACATCAACCAATATAATACACCACATTGACAGAATGAAGGAAAAAATCCACATGATTATCTCACTTGATGCAGAAAAAGCATTTGACAAAATTCAACAACTTTCTTGATAAACACTCAACAAACTCATAAAAACTTGATAAAAACTCAACAGCCTCAATATGATAAAGGCCATATATGGACTATCCATAGCTAACATCATACTCAATGGTGAAAGACTCAAAAATTTTTCCCGAAGATCTGGAACAAGATGAATGTATTAGTTTGTCAGTGCTGCCATAGCCACATATCACAGACTGGGTGGCTTAAGCAACAGAAACTTATTTTCTCACAGTAAGGAGTTACTGCTTAATAGTTGCAGACTTTTTGTTGGGGTAATGAATGTTTTGGAAATACATAGGGTGATAAAGTCTCAACATTGTGAATGTAATTAAAAAGAGTTAAAATGGTAAATTTTATATATATTTTAGTGCACACACACACAATACACCAAGGAACCAGTGATTTATAGAGCCCACTTTAGAAAACTGACTTAATCCATTCTCCTCACTGTATAGACCACTTGATCAGCCTGTGTAGACTACTTTCCACATTCCCAATTGGCTATACTCTCTCTGACTCTAAGGCCTTTGTACAAGCTGTTCTCTCTGTAAGGAGAGCCATTCTCTTCCACCACATGACCCAGATGGCTTTTGCTTATCCTTCAGGTGTTATTTAAACATCAGTGAACCTTCCTTCAGTGAACCTTCTTAGATATCCTCTCCTACCCACATACAGTCTTCCACCATGATAGTATGTATCCAGCCATTTTTATTTGTCATTTACTTGTGCTTATCTACCACTAGACTGTTACCTTTACGGAGGAAGAACCATATGTGTCCTGTGAAGTGCTGTGTCTGGCACCTCGCACAGTGCCTGAGAAACAGCAGGTGCTCTATTACCATTTAAATAAGGGAGGAGGGGAGCCTGGGTGGCTGAGTCAGCTGGCTGGGCGGCTGGGCGACTGACTTCAGCTCAGGTCATGATCTCATGGTCTGTGTGTTCGAGCCCCGCGTCGGGCTCTGTGCTGACGGCTCAGAGCCTGGAGACTGTTTCAGATTCTGTGTCTTACTCTTTCTCTTCTCCTTCCCCCCTTGTGTTCTATCAAAAATAAATATTCAATTTTTTTTTAAATAAATAAGGAAGAAAATAAGGGAAAGAGGGGTGGACATAGGCCTCCACAAATTTAATATGTGTCTCACTTCAGTTTCAGGGGCAGTGTTTGTTTCTCCCTTAATAGCATTCAGTGATATCTTCTTTCTGTTTTAGTTTCCTGTGCAGATATTTCATCCTGTGAGCACCCTAATTGTTTCTGTACCCCCCACAGTACTTTCAATAGAGTAGACACTTAAAAAATAAGCAAGCACGCACATTCAAAAACAATATGTTGCAAACAGAATATTCTAGCCTTTTGTTGTCTTTCATATGTAAAGAGTAGAAAAGGACCACAAAGTCTCCTAAAGTCTTTTAGTTCTCCACTAGAAAATGTTGCTTTTTTTTTTTTTAATTTTTTTTTCAACGTTTATTTATTTTTGGGACAGAGAGAGACAGAGCATGAACGGGGGAGGGGCAGAGAGAGAGGGAGACACAGAATCGGAAACAGGCTCCAGGCTCTGAGCCATCAGCCCAGAGCCTGACGCGGGGCTCGAACTCACAGACCGCAAGATCGTGACCTGGCTGAAGTCGGACGCTTAACCAACTGCGCCACCCAGGCGCCCCGAAAATGTTGCTTTTTATGTAACTTTCATTTCAGATGACCAATGTAGAAACTGTCTTGGAATGTAAAAGTATCAGAATGTAACTTTTGTTGTTATTTTAAGAAATGCTTGCTCTCCTTCTAGTCACCTTTTGAACTATAAATCTTTAACTTCTCAAACAGAAAATGCAGGAACTGGTGGTATTGACAGGGGTGGGGCAAGGGGACAGTGGCAGAGAGAGCTCCAGAGTTGAATTTTCTAGCAGTTCTGTTTCCCAAGAGTGAGGAGACTAGAAGAGTGTCTCTGAGATAAGACCCAGCTCTGGCCCCTGACCCAAACACTCATTTTATCCAAGGTTTCTGCTGGACCTCCAACCAGAAGTTGGGGGCTTGGGCCACTTCACTCCAGGAACATGAAGTCTCCTCTCTGAGAACCCCAGCTTGTTGGTCTCAGCAACCAACTGTTGACCTAATAAGCTCACTGCCTCAGCCTTATGATGTATGTATTAATGACTCAATTCATCCACAGAACGGAAAGGCCCAGATACGCTATGAAATGGTAGCATTTTCCAGGTTCATTTGCTGCCATATCATCCTCAGAAGAATGAATATTCTGTCTGTCCTCGTGGAGGTGAGCATTGAATGTAGAGCCCACTGGAGCTGCAGATTTACCCTCCTCCCCTCCTTTGGTGCACAGATTGGATTTCTAGTTCTGCCCACATGTCTTCACATGAGAAGAAAGAGGAATTCTTCTTCCTTGGAGGATGAAATCAGGACCTCGCAAAGGAAAGAAACTTCTAAGTCTGTTAGAAGTAAGGCCTAGCTGAACTGAAATCAGCAACACTAATCCCAGTCCAGGACTCTAGTAGTGAGAAATGTGCCAAGGAGTCCTTTCTGGGAAAGTTAGAGAAATGTTTGATGCTCAAACACAAGCATGCAGAAATGCCCTGAGTAATGGCCTCAAACCATACAAGGGTAAAGAAATCAGAAATATGACCTAAACACTAATTCTCTTAAATTCTCTAGGCCACAGTTCTCATCCCTGAGAACTTCTCATTCTCTCTGTCTCTGTCTGTCTGTCTGTCTGGTCCTTATGGAAAGTCCCTTCCTCGCATCGACCGGAGTGAAGAGCCCCTTTCACTTACCCGGAGCAGTGTAGTGGCTGCAGGGAGGTGAGAAATCTTGGCAGGTTTCTGGGCTGGACAAGGTGGGGAGCAAGTTCCCTCCAGGATGCCCCACAGATTGGGCCCTTAAGGTGATCAGGGTCTGCCAGTGTTGAGAGTATGGGAGTTTTGGGAGAGGCTCCTGGAGTGCCAGGAGAGGAGGCAGCAGTTGGCAGTTGGGGAGACAGTTGGGGAAAGTTCCAGGAAGTTCCAGGAAGCAGCTAACCTGAGGAGTGGGTAAGAATAGGAAAAGAAGAATGGGTGGGTTTCCAGCATTCCCTTTTCCAAGGATTCTAAAGTCAAGAGCAAAAATCATGGAGTTGGAGACAATTCTCTTACCATTTCTCCTACCTTTCAGGATACACTGTGAGACAGGCTGAAGAGACACCAGAGATGCACAAAGAGATGGCTATGGAAGAATAAAGAGAGAAACTATTGAGACCAGAGTCACAGATAGACACAAACAGTGTAGAGCAAAAGGCACAGACACCGAAAGTAGAGAGGCAGAATTGGGAACCTTACTTGGGGTGGAGTAAGAGCCTCTTCTCCAACGAGTGTAGCCTGGAGCCTCAGAGGAATGCAGAAGGACAACACTTGTTCAAGCCCAGGAGCTGCCAAGACTGTGTAGACTGTTTTCAGTAGGTAATGTTCTACCAAAATGGGCAGTTGAAGCTCCTGTAACAGGCAATCAAGCCCAACGCAAGTCCCTGACTTTCAGGACTTGGGTTTCCTGCTGTTTAAAAAAATTTTTTTTAACATTTATTTATTTTTGAGACAGAGAGAGACAGCGCATGAATGGGGGGAGGATCCAAGAGAGAAGGAGACACAGAATCAGAAGCAGGCTCCAGGCTGCTCGAACTCGTGAACCATGAGATCATGACCTGAGCCGAAGTCGGACACTTAACCAACTGAGCCACCCAGGCGCCCCTCCTGCTGTTTTAAATGACCACATCTGGGACCACAACCTTGATATCCTTCTGGAAAATTCCTCCTAGGAAATTCAAGGAGTTAGTGGAAATCTAGACATCCCAGATGAATTACATCAGAATCTCTGAGGGTAAGTCCTAGACATTAGTATTTTCAAAGTGCTTCTCATGGGATTCTAATGAGCAACCAGGCCTGAGAACCAATGTATTAAATATACATTGGCAGTAGGCATTTGCCAGATGCTGAAGGTATGAACATGAATGAGACTCAGACCCTGCTTCTGATGAGCTCAAGGCTGAGCAATGAACATAAGCATCAAATAAACTGCAATGACAAAATCGCCAACAGTGTGCTGAGTTTGGCCATGGAAGCACCCCTAGGGCAAAGAGGAAGGGGTATTAGTTATGTGTTTTATTTTATGTATCTTATGATGGTTTGACATCTTGAGGGCCTTGCTGGTTGGGGAGAGATGGCCCCTTCCAGGGTTAGCTGATTCGTAGAGATTGTGAACAACTCACCTTGGAACACACCTTTATATGCAAACCAACAATCTTGAGTCTATACCCTCCAACAACCTCCTTTATCCAGCCCTCACCCAGTAAGCCAATAAACCCCTTTCCAGGGCCAGGCCTCAGGCAACTGGACACCACCTGCCTAGCTCAGAGCTTGTTGGCATTATTCAAACTAGCCAATCCTAAACTGCCCTGCTTCACCCCTTCCTTCCCATGGAAAACATAATAAAGACTCTGGGACAGTTGTTTCCCTCATCCCCTTCTGATTTGCCCCAATGCTTTTCCAGGTGGTATGGTATGCCCCTTTCTCTTGGAAATGGTAAATAATTATTTCAATGGCATTGGCCTTTCTGTGTCTCACTTGGTCACCTATATAAATAAAACACCCCAGGGGCCCCTGGCTGGCGCAGTCAGTAGAGTATGTGAGTCTTAATCTCAGGGTCATGAGTTCAAGCACCACATGGGGCATGGAGCCTACTTAAAAAAATAATAAGTAAATAAAAGTAAAATCCCACAGTGCAATCAAGACAGAAGTGATGACTATCTTACAGGAGTGAGAATTGGATAAGGCTTTGAAAGAGAAGCAGGAAAGAGTATCTCATGAATAAAGGCACTGAGGCATAGAAGGGCCCCAGCAGTTGGTGGACTAGAGCAGGATGGAATTGCTGGAGCATTGAGCACAGGTGACCAGTGGGGTGGGAGAGGGGACAGGATGCAGGTAGGGAAGCCAAGCATGCTGGGCAGTTTATTCTTGCTTGAATAAGAGGTAATTTATGCACTTATCTGCTCTCCAACAGGCCCCACCAACTAACCCACTCCTTGGTTTGGGCTTCTGTGATATTAACAAGGTCATGGTAGAAACCCTTCACACTGGCACCAACATTTCCAGCCCAAGGAGCCTAAGGAAGAGAGAACAGACTGCAGAACCAGGCAGAGCTCCTCTTCCTGAGACAGAGCATGGGCTTTGGGTCTGAACTGTGGACTACCCCCTTGGTCAAGCTTCTTACTGTCTTGGCCCACTTCACCATCTTTAGAATGGGCACACTAATACATGTTTCATGGTTGTCGTGCAGATGAGGAGGGAAGGGGGAACACAGTACTTGACCCTTCATGTATTTGTTTCTATCTTTCTCCCCCCTTCAACCAGGACACATACTAGATCTGATGAGAACAAAAAGAAACACGTTCCATCAGAACTGCAAGATAGCATCTCATGAGAGGCCAACCAGTAACAGGTCAGTAAGAGTGTCTCTTCCAGACAATCCCTGTAAGGGGGTCCTTGTAGGTCTGTAGAGGGGATGGCTTAGTCAGTGTCAGCTTTCATCATCTTACTGTACTAAATTGAGACTTTGGAACTTTCTTGGTTCCACATCCCAGGAGAGCCTTAAGAGGAAGCTACAGGGTAAACAGATGTTGTAAAATGCCACATGAGTTCAGATGCCCCTGTTATCTCCTGAACTCTGCAGAAAGGAAAGACTAGAAACAGATGGTCTTTTCTACCTCTGCTCTCTGCCTCTATGTGCCCTGTACTCTTGGACAACTTGGTCCACCGCGCCTATCCCAATGACGTTGACTGAGCACCGACCAGGTACCAAGCAGTGTGTGAGCATGTAACCAGTGCTATCTCGTTTAATCCTCCCCATAGCCCTATGATGTGGGCACTAGTGTCCCCACTTTACAGCTGAAGCTTGGTGTCATATAGTTAGTAAACAGAAGAGCCAGATCCCAACCCAAAACTTTCTGAATCCAATCCTGTGTTCTTATCCTCACTAGGATGTCCTGGGCCATTTACTTCTCCCAATTTCAGTCCAAAGGCCTATTGATGCAAACGTTCCTTTGTTGCAACAAGCTCCATCTCTGATTCTCAACTCACCCAAAGTGCAGGGATCACACAGGCTATTTTGTATCCTCCTTCTTTGACACTTTTCTCCATGTGTCATCCATTCTCTAAGTCATTCAGTTGACAGACATTCACTGGGGTCCTTTCTGGGCCAAGTACTATGTACCTCTAAGGGTGCATCATCTTTGCCCCTACATCTGTGTACAATTAAGGGAGAAAAAGTGGACTTATCTGAGTCTGAAGACAGATTTACTTTGTCCCTTCTGGGAAAGGTGACTGGAATAGCTGCCAGTTCAATGTAAACATCCACTGGGCCCAACCATGTACAAAGACGTGTTCGAGTTCTGGGGATTTCCTCTAGGATAGATACACCACAATGCTTGCCTCCATGGTTTAATGGGAAAGATAAGCATTTACTCAACCAACAGTGAAACCAGGCATCCTGTGAGAAGAGCTATAAGAAAATATTCCAAATAGTGGGGACACTGGAAGGAAATAAAAGCAATTAGGATTGAGGAAGACTTCACAGTGGAGAGGGTAATTGCAGTGAGTCTCAAGGGCTACTTACTCAGCTCATCTTTTTTTTTTTTTCCTTGAGGGGACTGGAATTTATGCATCACATCCATCCAGCGTGCCTGAGCCCCAAGCTCTGACATCTGATTGTTTCCCTGATTGTAGAGTCTGGTTAGATCAACCACCCCAACGTGCCTCACACCTGCCCCTGGCTCAGTGCTCATGGATGGGGCCTCCAGAGTGCCTCTCCAACAAGCCTGAGCACCGATCAGTCCCTTCTGAGCAGTGATTTGGTTGGAGGGCAGAATGCTGTAGGACTGCCCCCTGGGGCAGTAAAGACAGCCAAGTCATTAAGTCCAAAACCACTGGCGGTAAGGGAGCTGCCAGAGGCCTGGCCCATATTTCAGTGTTCCCAGACATCAGCCAGGGAATAAAGAGCAGGACTAGGACAAGGCCAGACTCTTGCTGCTCCCTGGGAAAGTCATTTGAGACCTCATAGGAAAAATCAGAGGGACAAGATCCTCTTCTCCTGGGTCTTGTCCAGGATGCTTATCTGGGGAGGGGGCTTTGTAAGGAAAGTACCTGCTAAGATCAAGGTGCATCTTTTGGGAACTCAGGTGGACTGCCTTATTTTATATGTGGCACCTATAGGTGTGATTATTTCTCAAAGCAATCCCAAGTGTATTCAGTTAAAAGGATTGGGGAAAGCCTCATCCTCCATGGCTCCAGAGGGGAGATGGACCGAGCTACCCACATGCAGGTTTCTAGCTTCCAGTTCCCAGTGACAGGATGACCAGGCCCCTGTTGGGCCACCTGGAAAACCACAGGGACCCATCAGCAAAGTGCTTAGATAGGCCCCATAATGCTCTGCCAGGGCCATTGTAGAAGGGATTCCATTCTCATAAAAGGATGGATTTGGATCAGTGGTTTTCAATCTGTATTCTTTGGAGGTCTTCAGGAGCTTTGGGAGGTTTGGGAGTATTGATCTATTTTCTACATTAGGGCTCTGCTTAGGATATATACGTGTGTGTGTGTGTGTGTATACATATGTGTATATATATGTATGTGTATATATGTGTATACATGTATGTATATCACATGAACCTGTGAACATACCTTTATCTGCATTTTAAATGATTCTGCTAGTAAATAGTCAAGATGTCACTGTATTAATTGATGTTAACCTATCTCTGCTGAACCTTTGGTATCTGTTCTTCCACCTTCTCTATATGTGTTATCCCTTTTTATCTTCACAGATATTTCATGAGGTATGGAGTGATAGCTGCATTTTTCAGACAAGGAACCTGAGGCACAGAGAATATAAGAACCTTGCTCAAGGCACACAGCTAGTAAATGGTGGGCTGGATTTGAAGCCAGCCA